TAGGGATAAATTATCCCAGGGCTAGATTGGCCTTATACGGTACTGGGTGACTGACTGTCAGTCGATGTGCATATATATACAGGTTGGAATACCCCTGGGCTGGATTGGCCATAAACAGTACCGAATGACCGGATAATTTGTGACCAGTATTTACATGAGGTCTTTCTACTGAGATGTCGTATGCCTCATATCATGCAATACTGATCTATTTCACTTGTACTGAGTTTAACTGTTGAACTTGAAAGCATGCCTATATTTCTATAGCATTATTTTTATTGGACTGTACCTGCAGAGCTTATCATTTCTTTCAGCCCAGAGGTTAGTCTTGTTACTTATTGAGTTAGTTGTACTCATACTACACTCTGCACCTCGTGTGCAGATCCAGGTGCTCCCGGATACGACGACTGCTAGAATTCGGAGTTATTTCTGTTGGAGAGTATCAAGGTAGCTGCTTGACGACCGTAGACTTGATTCCCTTCCTGTTTAGTTATTGTACTGTTCTATACTTCAGACATTGATGTTTATTAGTCAGACTTTGTATTCATTTAGATGCTCATGTACTCAGTGACATCGGGTTTTGGGAGTTTTATATTTGAAATTGTGAGATTTTTTTTTCCGTTGAATTTTATTATTTTGTTTTCAAATTTAAAAGATATGGTGGATTATTGAGATTTTTGGCTTGCCTAGTATTGAGATAGGCGCCATCACGACAGGTGAGATTTTGGGTCATGACATTTGCATTGTAATTACATAATCAGTCACATGCATTCATTTGCATATCATATCTCAGTCTCTCTTACCATTTATTGATACATCACATCATTATCTTTGGGCTGATTTGCATGACATCGTGAGCCCGAAGGACTAAAAAGATTGATGGCTGTGTGAGGCCGAGGGCCTGATTGTAAAGATATTGAGGGGATCGGGCTACACGCCGCATCATGTTTATTTGATTCATGCCATGATTGGCCTATTATAGGGCTTGGGCTGAAATTGCCCCTCCGGAGTCTGCACATCCATAGTGAGCGCAGGTACCTACTGAGTGCGAGTGCGAGTGTCGAGCGCGAGTGCCGAGAGCGAGTGCTGAGTGACTGGGAGGATTGATTGACTGTGAGGACTGAGTGATTGGGAGGACTGAGTGACTGGGAGGACTGAGTGAATTGATACTCTGACAGTATGCAATTGTTTTATCAATGAGTTGTATTACATTCGACATGCACACTTGACATACAGGCATAGAGATGTATTCTTCCTTATGCCATTCAAAAATGAAACATTTNAGAGCTAGTGCTGAGTGACTGGGAGGATTGATTGACTGTGAGGACTGAGTGATTGGGAGGACTGAGTGACTGGGAGGACTGAGTGAATTGATACTCTGACAGTATGCAATTGTTTTATCAATGAGTTGTATTACATTCGACATGCACACTTGACATACAGGCATAGAGATGTATTCTTCCTTATGCCATTCAAAAATGAAACATTTGGCTATTGAAAGCTTTTGGAAAAAATTACAGTTTTTACAAACTTACTCATATTTTAGTGATTTTGGAAAAAGATTTGGTTTTTCACTGATATAATTATAAAGCATGCCTATCTTTTCGGAACTATGAACGAGCTGACATTTTATCTCTTAACTATTTCTTTTCGCACTTGTTATTACGTTGTTATGAACTGTTGTTGGCTAATGGTGTTGGACTCTGACTTTTGTCCTAGCTCGTCACTACTTTCAACCTGAGGTTAGGTTTGTTACTTATTGAGTACATGGGGTCGGTTGTACTCATACTACACTTCTGCACCTTGCGTGCAGATGTTGGATGTTGATGTTGATGTTGATGTTGATGTGTACGCCAGGAGCTGAATTCGAAGATGTACCTGCATTCCAGTTATGTCCATCACTTGTCCTTGGTAGCATTAGATTTGAATTCTGTTCATTTACATTTCAAATAGATGTTGAAATTATTTCAGTTCAGTCTTGTAAAAATTAACTCTAAATCTTAGAAGCTCATGATTTGTACTACTAGTTCTTGAGAAATTCCTTGTATAAAAGCAGTTGTATTATCTTTTCTCCTTTTAATAAATCTCATTAAATTGGATAGTTATTAATTGGCTTACCTAGTAGGTTGAGTTAGGTGTCATTACGGCTAGTTGGATTTTGAATCGTGACACCAATAACCTGAGTAGAATCTCCATTGCTAGATCTTTAGGGAAAGGCCGGCCATCATTATCACTGGTGGCCATATCAGAGCAGAAAACAGAGAGATAAAAATGATGATGAAAAATACTTAATCGTGAAGAAAAAAACTGATGGTGAAGGTCAAATCAGTAGAATAAATTGATTGAGTGAATTACTGGGCACTTCCTCTTTAATACATTCCCCAATCTTTTAGACTTCAATTTTTTACTATAATTATTACTACTACAGTAATCTGATTACCTTATAAGTGATTTAATTACTATTTTACTACTATTAAATTCTACATTTATTTCTAATTATATTTATTATTCTGCTTTTCCTAAATTATTTAATCAGAATGGTGATTAGATAATAATAAATAAATATAGTGTGAAAGAATTATAAAGGATAATTGATCTCATTCATCCAAAGACTTATGTATCAACAATAACTTAACTAATTAGCATGCAAAGCTTTGTCCATTATATTGTGAATGATCAATTGTTTGTATTATGTTCCGATCCCTATAAGAAGAGGCGAATTCTCATATGTCATCTCATCCTTGCATACATTGAGTACGTACATTAATAATATTGCTAACAAGTTAATATAGAGAGCTACTTACTACTAATTGTATTGATTTTGATGGCTATTATCCCAAGAACTAGCTGTCAAGCACGTTATCATTTTATGGACTACGTACTACAATAGCCACCAACATTCTGTGAGATGCAACTGCTATCGAGGAAAACTCCTTGCAAATCTGGTATTCCGAAACAGTTCTTTATCCATGGTCTTTGGCCATGCGACACGAGAGCAACAACCTTGACATGTCCATGTGCGCCTATTCTCGACGATCAGAACGTAAAAAATGTGGTAAGTGCTTGAAATTAGGACGAGCTAGGATACGGCGAGACTGCAGATTTTCGAGGACATGACACTTGATAGGAAGATGTGGAGGTCGAGTATTAAGGTTATAGATTATAAGGTAATTGAGTCGTGCCTTACTCCGTACCATTGTGGGACTAGCCATATAGGGGTTTTATCTAAGATAGCTAGTGGCAATGTTGTGTCTTACTATTTCGCTTTTCAATGCAGGTTCTATTTACTAGCTATCGCTTTTACTTTGCATCTTTCTTCTCGATTTTATGGTGTTCCTATTTTTCTTATGATTGCTGTGGTGATACTAATATTGTCTCCCTTTGCTTTGCATCTTTCTTCTGCATTTCATGGTGTTCCTATTTTTTCTATGATTGCTGTGGTGTTACTAATATTGTCTCCTTTTGTCCTTTTGTCTTTTTGTTTTCTTGAGCCGAGGGTCTTTCGGAAACAGCCTCTCTGCTCTTTCGGGGTATGGGTAAGGTCTGCGTACACACTACCCTCCCCAGACCCCATTAGTGGGATTTTACTGGGTTGTTGTTGTTGTTGTTGTAGCCTGCANAAGCTTGACATGTCCATGTACACCTAGTCTCGAAAATAAGAAAGTAGAAAATGTGGTAAGTGCTTGAAATTAGGACGAGCTAGCCTGCATTATATATAAACTTCCAAAATCTTATAAATACTTTAATTTGTTATGCTTTGTACGTACAGTTGAAAAATGACAACAACTTAGAGACGGTTCTCCACAATGTTTGGCCTAATTTGATAGCTGGCAGACAGGATAAAACTTTCTGGAAATACCAATGGAGAACCCACGGGTTATGTTCCAGCCCAACAATGCAAGTTACAGATTATTTTAAAGCAGCGGCAACGGTACACGCAACGATGATTGTGAAAACCCCGAAGCAAAATCTAATTGACTACTTTGTCGCTACTGGAATTAACCCTGATGGACCTTTTACTCATTGCATGCCATAACGGCTGCTGCGAGAACAGTGGTGGGTAGTAATAATCATGTTTATGCCTCGTGTAAGTCAAATGGTACACACAATCTTCTACATGAGGTATATCTTTGTTTGGACCAACAACTACAGAACTTCATACCCTGTCCCTTACGTACAGGTGAAAGATCAGGTTGTGGTTCGTACCCGCATAAAAGAAATATCATCCTACCAACTTTTTAGTATTGGTCAGCTAGCTATAGTCCAACTGATCATTTGGAATAAATATTAATGCCGGTAATAATGTTGTATTATCTCATACCATATCGATCAAGCCCAACTGATAAATAAAGACTTGTACTCACTTCATGAAATAAAGACTTCTTCCTTAATTCATTGGTCTTTTTCTTTTTAGTGCCTTTGAACTCTAAATGAAACAATCTTGGGGGTCATTTAATACGTTTGAGGTCTTACTCCTAGCTTAATCACCAGAATTTTTCATCTTTCCCCGAGGGTAAAAGTTCAAGATGAGATTAAGTGTATGATGGACAGCTTAACTGCTAAGGCCATATAACGATGTATTTATATATACGATCGAGAGTACAAGTTGCACAAGACGGAATAACTTGAAAAGGGTAAAGTGAGCCAACATTGTCACAGTGGAGCAACACTTGATTTGTCTTCTTGTCCTTAACAACCCTTTATTGAAGGGATAATCAGCCCTTTATATTTGAACTCAACTTCTGACTACAGCAATGTGGAAACAATGGAGAAGATTTCTTCTCATTACGGAGGAAGATAATACAAAACTTATTAACACGCCTGATTCAAATATTTATAGAAATAACAAATAACAGTAGCCTCCGACAAAAGGCTATTCTTCTGTCAAACGATTCATCTCTTTGGTCGATCATGTAAATCCTACTGATGTGGTGTATTCAAATATTATAAAGGTTTAGCAACGGTAAAAGAAAAAAGGCAATCATATATATAGTCAAACAAGTGAAGATTGTGATCTCCAAGAATGAAATTATTAACTATAAAGTTATATCTGAAACAAAGCAACAATAATAATAACATGATTGTAATCTTTAAACCAGAAAACTTTATTGACACGAAACAAACTTAGCTAGGGAAACTTGAGGCTGAGTGGTAACATATCATCCACTCTTGTTTAAAGCTAAATCAAGGAGTCAAATATGTCAGTAAGCTTCAATGGTTCGGCTCTCCATTCTCTCGTTTAATTATTACTAAGCTCTCCTTATAAAAATGAACGGAACAACCATCTGTGGTTTTCCAGATGGCTCTCCTCAGGCCTGGATGACGAAATCCGAGATTCCTCGTTGTCTGAGTCCTAACATCATAAGAGAATAGATGGGGACGTTTATTTACAAAAATGAGAGCGCTAGAATACCAAGACTTTATATACGAAGTGCATTGAAAGGTCAATTGTTTGTTCCAAACACCTGGTTGGATCATTACCCATACATCATAAAAAAATCCTTCAACAACGGTCATGAGGGCAATGAAGTCATCAAGCAATACCAGTCTCACATAGCGATGATTGAAAGCGTGCCCAACATCTGGCCCTCCGATCTCTACAAACACCTCATTGTCAAAGTCAAATGAAAGAACGCTACAATCCTTAGAAGTACAACTCCCGCCGCATAGCAGCCAATAATAAGTTCCATTTAAATAAGCAGTACCAATGGCTTCTGCACAGAAATCATGTATGAGATTTGCAGGTTCAAGTATTCTCCACGAATCCCTAGAACAAGAATAGACTGCTGCATATTGTCGTGGGATAGTATGATTTCTAATGTCATCCCAGAAGGACCGAAACCAAACAACCTTGTAGTCATTAGTCATGGGGTCTAATCCGAACCCAAACTGACGGTCCATTTGAGTGAAAAATGGTTGAAGGTCGAAGTTGGCTGCAGGAAGGGGCCTCACTTCCCTGGTGGCAGGATTCCACAATGACGAGGAGATGTTGAGTATGCTGCCATCAATTTCTTGCTCCAACAAAAATAAGCCATCCACGGAACCTAACAGGTAAGTCATACCTCTAAAGCCCCGGAGATAATCAGGTGGATATTCAAGTACACTAGCATCTGAAACCGAAAAAAAAGTGATTGGAGGGGAATCATCTAGGGCACTATGATCATAAATCAAGATTTGAGGGGATTTGCTCTTGCTGTTCCAATTCATGTGTTCTCTGATGAAGCTATGGCTCTTCATTATCTCGTACCAGTGCTTGCAGATGCATTTGAATCGCAACAAGGACTCCACTGGCAACCTGAGTAGAATATCCACTGCTAAATCATCACAGAAAGGCCGACCACCATTACTGCTAGTGGCCATAGTAGTTTCGGTGACAGAGAAAGAGAGAGAAGAGCAGATGGATCTGTACGTCTTTTTGTTTTCTACTAATAGGCAGAGGTTTAGATGGAGTGAGTTACCGGTTCTTCCTCTATAATATATTCTTCATTCTTTTAGACATCACCAATTATTTGCTTTAATTACTACCATCTGAATTCTAATGGAGTGCCTTGTTATTCTAATTATTATTTTTTTATCATTAAACTAATAAATCCATTCGCGCTAGCACGGTTATCAAAAAGAGAATAAAAATATAAGTAAATAGTAATTGTTAGAATTAGTATAAGACATCAGTCTTTACTAATCAAAGAAGTAGCCTAAAAGAGATCAAAAATAAATTGTTAACTCATGGTCTTGAAATAACTCATGCAGTGAAACTTTTAAAGTCATCCTTAACATTGACCATTAAAATATAATTCTTATTCTAGTATTTTATCTCTAGGAGTAATATTAAATTTTATGTAATAGCAAAAGTGAGTTTCATCAAAATTTATTCTCAAGAGCATTCAATGAATGATAGTGGAAGTAGTACTCTTTGTTCAGTTTCATCTTTTGTATATTCTCCGTCGTAACACAATTAATTTTTTATTTATTTATTGGTTTTATCATCATTAATCCCTATCAACGATATTATGATAAGTAAAAATAAAGTACAGAGAAGAAAGAATTCCCCTCCAAAACAAAAGCAAGAAGTCAAATTGTATCTCAGGTAATAAAGAAATTTTCATATTTGAAGCCGTTTACCCACATATGAAATAGTATTTGGTAAAGCATGAATCAGGTANTATATATATGTTATGTGTCACGACCCAAACTCCCTCTCTATAATGTCGTGACGGTACCTAGTCTCTACGACTAGGTAAGCCTAACAAATTGCGAAAAATAACAAGCGAAAATAAAACTTGGCAACTAATAGCAATGGATAACTGAATAACTAGTAACAATGCCGCTCGGCATGTATAATAACCAATACTCTATAAATACCCGTCTTACCAAAATCCGGAACATCATAAGTCACGAGCCACTAAAAGGAAAATAGTATCTCTGTACACAAGAGTCTAATAAAAAGAAATACAGGAAGTGTTTGACACGGGGGAGAATAGAGGGGGACTCTGAGGTCTGCGGACGCGGCAGATATACCTTGAAATCTCCAAAGCTATCTCGACTCACTGGTAATGCAGCTGATAACGAGCACCTAAATCTGCACACAAAACATGTGCAGAAGAGTAGTATGAGTACACCACAATTGGTACCCAATAAGTGTCAAGCCTAACCTCGGTAGAGTAGTGACGAGGTCAGGTCCGAGCCCTACTGGGATATAATAACAAGACAGATGATATAATAAAATGAAGTAAAGCGGAGAATTTAACAGAAGGAATTCACAGAGAAATAACAATGAACAAACAATGTGATAACAACAGGGGCGCTCCCGAGATACAGTCTCGTAGTCCCAAAAGTAAATACTCAACAGGGGATTTCGGGATACCGTCTCGTAGTTCCAAAAGTAAATATGCAAGGAGCTCTCCCGAGGTACCGCCTCGTAGTCTCAAAAGTAAATATGCAAGGAGCTCTCCCGAGGTACCGCCTCGTAGTCTCAAAAGTAAATGTACAGGGAGAACTCCCGAGGTATCTCCTCGTAGTCTCAAAAGTAAATGTGTAGGGAGAACTCCCGAGGAACCGCCTCGTAGTCTCAAAAGTAAATATGCAGGGAGAACTCCCGAGGAACCGCCTCGTAGTCTCAAAAGTAAATATGCAGGGAGAACTCTCGAGGAACCGCCTCGTAGTCTCAAAAGTAAACACACAGCTCAACCGATAAATACCATAGTTAACAGCAAGAATTTTACAGTTAAGACTGATAAAGAACAAGGAAAAATAGGAAATCAATCAGGCATGCTTCACAGAGTTCAAATAAGCAGTTAAAGCACGTAGACATGCGATATTAGACTAAACATGATAACTACGCATATTGGAATAGCTCAATTAAGAATGAAAAATAGACTAATACTCATTTAAGCGGTATAACTCAAATTAAAGGAAAATCAGGTAGCTACTCAGTAAAATAAATCGTGTTTTTCAAAAATAGACTAATACTCATTTGCGATTTTCGTTTTTGGATTTTTGGAGCTCGGATTTGGGCGATTCTGGAGGGATTTTTCACAAGCTTGGTTGGGGTAAGTGTTCTATATCCTAAAGTGTTTATATTTCATGAATCCATGATTATATTCATCATTTAATTCGGATTTAAATGGAAGAAATCATTTGTGCCCTTAATTAAATCATTATATTTCCTCGGCACCTCGTGCCCTCATTTCATATCACAACTGCACGGACAATTCACGTGCCAATTATCATCATCATTTTATCACAACACCTCGTACCCACATTTCATATCACAACTGCACGGACTATTCACGTGCCAAATATTCTCATTATTTACTAACGACACCTCGTGCCCACATTTCATTTTATAATCCGCTTGGCAATAGCCACAGGCTCTCAATTTTAACATAAATCAGATTGTTATCAATTTACTAACAGCAAGACAAGTTGCACAAGGTATAGAAATAAACACAATAAAATCACAACATCACATGAAAATTATCAACACCACAACCTCACATCATCACATATCGTCCCTGACAATAGCCACCCTTATCGCTCCTATAGCCACCCTTATCGTTCCGCCAAGACAATATCAATAGTCACCCTTATCGCTCCTATTGCCACCCTTATCGCTCTTATAGCCACCCTTATCGCTCCGCCCAGATAATATTCCAACAAGCACAACAACAGTGAAATGTCACTCTTATACCCACATAATATCAACGGTGAAATGCCACCCTTATCTTCCCAAAATAGTAACTTACATAATACAACAATTTACACGGGAAATTAACACGAAAATATAATAAAATCAATTCATATTACAATTTGCTCAATGGCCACAACCAAATTCCAAAGATATAATAAAATCAATTAATTTCATAACAAATAGCCCAAGGCTCCACACAATGTATATAACACCCAAAAACATTCAATTGAGATAGAAATTACTCAGCATAAAGCAAAACCTTCATTAATGCAAATTTAGATAATTATATTAACACTTGTTCTTAGGCTCGCTTAAATTAATTATTTGCATAAGAAGATTCATATTGGAATTAATTTCCAAGAAATATTAAACCAATAATACTCACGAAATTTCATAAATATTTCAAGTAACAATCACATCAAATTATCATATAAAAATAAATTCAACAATAGGAATTTAGGCATGGCAAACAGTTGATTTAATAATTTTTCATAATTTTCTAGTTTACTACGCAATAATGCCTAAGACTTTATTTCAATGAATTTTGCACGTATAAGCCCGAGTACGTACTCGTCACCTTGCGTACACGGCTTTTCACATTTCATAAATGGCGCATAAGACTCAATGCCTAAGGGGTAATTCCCCCACTCGAGGTTAAGCAAGACACTTACCTTTTTGAAGTTAGGCCAATATTCCAAAATAGCCTTCTTGCTTGAATTGGCCTCCAAAATAGCCTTCTTGCTTAAATCCGAATTAAATAATGAATATAATCATGTATTCATGAAATATAAACACTTTACGATATAGAACACTTACCCCAACCAAGCTTGTCAAAAATACCTCCAGAATCGCCCAAATCCGAGCTCCAAAAATCCAAAAACGAAAATGGCAAAATGACCAATTTTTGGTCCTTAACATTCTGCCCAGATTCGCTCCTGCGGTTACTGTTCACGCTTCTGCGAATCACTGTTCACGCATCTGCGAATCACTGTTCGTGTTGCTGCCCAGAAAATTCCAGCAGCTTATCTTCATGTCCGAATTGATCCGTTAACCTTCCGAAATCAACCCGAGGCCCTCGGAACCTCAACCAAATATACCAACACGTCCCAAAATACAATACGAATTTTGTCGAGACTTCAAACCATGTCAAAAAATACCAAAATTATGAATCACGCATCGAATCGAATTATAAGTTTTCAAATCTTCCAACTTCTATATTTTGCGCCGAAACGTATCAAATCAATCCGGAATGACTTACAGTTTTGCACACAAGTCATAATTGACTTAATGGAGCTATTCCCATTTCCGAAATCGAAATCCGACCTCGTTATCAAATATTTACCCTTCGGTCGGACTTTTCTAAAATCTTATATTTTCCAACTTTCGCCAAAATGTGTCGAATTGTCCTACGGACTTCCAAATCCAAATCCGAACATACGCCTAAGTCCGAAATCATCATACAAAGTTATTTCCATCCTCGAAATTCTATTCCGGAGTTGTTTGCTCAAAAGTCAACTCTCCGGTCAAACTTCTCAAAAATTCAACTATCGGCATTTCAAGCTTAATTCCACTACGGGCCTCCAAATAATTTTTTCGGACATGTTCCTAAGTCCAAAATCACCATACAGAGCTATGGGAACCATGAGAATTTGAATCCGAGATCGTTTACTCAAAAGTGAACTCTCCGGTTAACTCTTTCCATTTATGCTTCTAAATAAGGATTGTTCTTTTAATTTAATTTCGAATCTTCAGTAAATCAAACTCAACCACTCCCGTGAGTCATAATACATATTGCAAAGCTGCTCGAGACCTTAAGTCACTGAACGGGACGTTAATTCTTAAAACGACAAGTCGGGTCGTTACATTCGAAGTAGAGCTGCTTACTCGTCGCAGTCCCTTAGAGTCTTTTTATTTCATTATACTGTTAATTTATAATCAAATTGTATTGTATATTCGGTCCTCGTGATCATTCCATGTATTCAGTTAGAGTTTGTGACTCAGTACTACCAGTCTTGGGAGGTTGTATATTGTAATTATTTCCGCTGTTAGCTTCAAAAAAAAATAGCTTCAAAATGTAATTAAAATCGGCTTACCTAGTCTTAGAGACTAGGTGCCATCACGACGCATGTGGTGGGATTTTGGGTCGTGACACTATTGCAACTCTTGCATT